TTTCTTTTCTTATGTTTGCAGCCCGGGATGCAGGAAAGTATTTATCCAAAAATATCCTGTTCATCTCATCCCATGTGCGTATTGAACCGGGAGGAAGAATATACAACCAATCCTTTGCTTTATCTCGTAAAGTAACTAGAAAGGCTATAAGTTTTACCTGGTCCTCGGTCATACCTTGGGGCTTCATACTCGAACAGACAACATGGAATTCCTTTTGATGCTTATGAGGGTCCTCACCTGGAAAACCATGAAAAATAGGCAATAATTGTATTAAACCAGATTTCAGTTCAAAAGCTACCTCAAGAGTTGGATATGTTATGCATAAGGGCTATTGGTTTATAATCGGTGCAGCCAACTCCCTCAATGTCCTCTCTCTGTCAGCCATTCTTTCTCCTTCTTCGAAAATGGGTAAATCACAAGCTGGTAGATCGAAATCCGAGTTCACCCTTTTAGGCGAACGATCCTTCCTTTGCTTTGCCTCCTTTCTTAAACGACGAGTAGTCCTCTCAATTTCTGGGTTGTACTCGAGTTCACCTCGTTGAGAAGCACGAGTTATAAAACAAGAAGGTTAACAAAAAGAATGTAATAGCTAAGAAATTAAAGTAGCTCCCCGGCAACGGTGCCAAAATTTTGACGGGTTGTCAAAGCCCTCAAAATTAGTACTAGTCTCACAACAAAATATTTGTAGTAAAAGTGGTACTAGGTCGAATCTCACAGGGATCTAAACAATAATCTCTCAGCCGAATGAATAATATAATTGAGTGGGAAAATTAAATAACTAAAATTGAAAGAACAAGAAAGCAATAGAAAATTCAACTAACAAGAAGTAACCAGTCTTACCGAATTCTGGTTCAAGGGTTCGGTTTAGTTAGTTGGCCATCAATCATAGGTAAACTTCGGTGGTCTTGCAATTCAAGCATTTAACCTTAGATTTGTTAGGATAGCCATAATAAACCTTGCATTTTCCTAAATCAGCTGACCAAACCCAGCATTCGATCAACACTTATCACTAATCAACTGGGTACGATAGCGTTCCATATCAACTAATGATAGCATCAAGCTTTGTGAAAATAGTTAAACCAAAATAACAATAATTGAGATAGCTGCAATTATCGAATTCTGTTCCATCGATTCCCTTTAGGTTAAAACATGTCAATGCATTGGTCAAAGGCTGTCACGAACAATTGA